TTTTTCTTTCTCCGTTCTATCACCGCCACTACAACCGGTTGCAGCGGCAGATCTGAACCCACCTCCGACCTTTCTCTCTCCATTTGTCTCTCTTTCTCTCTTCTCCTCCTCCTTTTTCTTCTTCTTCTTCTTCCTATGCTTCCCTCCTCCTCTATTCTATTTTTTTGAATCGTTGAAATCACCCGAAGATACTATAAATTGTCTTCTCCTTCGAGACAAACGCAGAACGACAGTCCTTCCTCTTTCTTCACTTTGATCTTCGCCTCCCTGAAACCATCACTTAAAATTTGTTCCGTCTACTGAGCAAGTAAAATTGACTATAGCAGTGACCACGTGAAACTTCTCCTAATAGCACAATTCCCTGTTGCAGCAACAAACTTAGGCCTATATTCGAGCAAAACCGGCGACGACACGGTGACACTCTCAGCACTCCCTATTCTATGTCGACTATAGTAGCTCCCATCTCAGGTTTCGTCTTCAACCTATTCTGTGTTGACGCTCTCGTTGAATGCAATGTAGTACCATCTTTAACTACTGTGTTGACTACAATAGCTCCCATCTCACCGAATTTACACCTTGACAACCAAACATGGTCGATGTAAATTTTCAAAATCTACCGGTCCCAATTTCCATCGACAACTAAACCAGTTTACATTTCCCATCGGTGTAAAACTAAATTTACACTTAAAACAAATGCAGCCTAATGGGAACAAAAAAAAAAGACAATTTCTGGGCTACCGTGCTTCTAAAAGTCCACTAGATCTTCCAAAAAGATTTGCCAAATAGGGCCTTAATATAAACCCAAGCTTGAGGTTTAGAAATTCAAGTTGGACTTTGGTTGATCCTCGACCTAACCCAACCCCCTAAGTTGCAACCCTAAGAGCAATGTGACATTTGTAAATTATTTGAACCAAACTGAGCTATGGGGTATGTGCTACCCCTCATTGTGTAGCCCAATGAAGCAAAAACATAAAAGACAATGGGCCAGATTTTCATAGTGTATTAATAATTTTATAGGTTGCCTAAATAGATTTTTTATATATTTATTGTAATAAACTAAAATTAAATAAAAATTATAATTTATAAAAGAAATCATAGTTTTATAATCAACATAGGCAACTTGTCCCTATCCCAAGCCCAAACAAATATTATTACACTTGGGGTGCGGGTCAAGTTGGGCAAGGCAACCTTAAAAACTATTAATACAATATTAAAATTTGGCCCAAGATCTTTTTTTTTTGTTCAATTGGCTAAACGAATGGGGGTAGCCCATCCCCCATAGTTCTTTTGGCTTCAAAATTAATAATTTTTATATAAAATTAGTTAAACCCCAAAAATAATGTATGGATCGGTTGTCCTCGTTTTAGTTCAATCCAATTACAAATGTCACATTTCTCTTATGTGTGCAACTTGGGTGGATTTAGTTGAGTTAAGGATCAACCAAAGCCCAACCCGTAGTCTTAAAGCTCAAACTGAGGCTTATATTAATTTAATTATGACCACAACCTAACTTTATATATTTACTAGTATTTTAATTATTTAAGTAACAATTTAGTAATTAGAAATAATTTATTGTTAGCTATACTTGTGTTAATTTTTATTAACTTTTCTATTATTGTTTATTAATTTTCATCATGGTTAGATAAATTGTTAGTAAATTTTATAATTCTAAACTGAATTTAAATGAATTGTTATTTTTATTAATTTCTATTAATTTTTGTTATAATTTTGTTTTGATACTATTTTTTATTAGATTTTATTCACTTTCATTTATTTTAAGTGGAATTTAAATATATGTGCACTATACAAATAATAATTTCAAATTAAATGGCTAATTTAAAACATCTATTGAAATATTACATATATATACTTATTTTAATTTTCATAACTTATCTTAGTAGTATTTTATTGTTACCAACTTCATTTATTGGTATTATTATTATTTTATCTATTTTTTATTAATTTAATATCTTAACATGGTGGAATTTAGGAATGGAAATAGGGCATGGACCACACTCACTTCCTTGTCCCCAATCTCCATTGGGGAGGAAAATGAACTTCCATCGCCAATGGAGATGGGTTCCATATCGGGACCCAAAGCCCTAATTTTTTTTTTCAATTAAAACATACTTTAGGAAAAAAATATTTACTTAAGAGAAAAAGAAATCGAACTATTTTCAAGTTTCAACTTTTAAAATATTAATAATATTTTAAAAATAATTAACATTTATATTGGTCTCTATCCTCAATTGAGTATCCAAATATTGACAAATTGATTCTATGGTACTTTTAATAACTTAGCTTCGTTATTATTATTATTATTATTTGCTTCATGGGGCTACCTCCTTCCCCAAAACCCATAACCCCCAACTCTAATAGCAGTGGTAGTTGGTCCCAGATATTTGATTGGTCCACTACAAACATCCAGAAAAACTATCAACTAAGCCACCGTTAATTGGTAACCTAGCAATTCAAGTGGGCTCCCCATACGAGTAAGTGTTTATGTAATTTTTATATTTGATGAGACCTAAAAAGTTATTTTATTAAAATAATACTAGGTGTTTTGCATTTATCAAGCTTTCTTGACCCAACCTGAAGCTTTCAATTCAATTTGCTTTATTAACTAACTTAAAATTATTTAGCCTAATAATAATGTTATTGAATATTTTTATTTCACTATTATTAATTTTTATTAATTTAAATAGATCTAATGTATATAAATTATAGTTAAATAAATAGATATTAATGGAGAGGAGAGAATTAGTGGCATGAGTTATTAAAGGAGAGAGAGAATGAAATAATTAATGAGAAGAGATAATTAAAGGAATTAATAAGAAAGAGGAGAGAGAGTTAATGATGATTTAATAAGAGGAGAAAAAAGTATTAAAATTGTTTGTTCACTTTAGTTATTTTGTTCAATTTTAAATTTAAAAAAAATAAAAAAAAAAACAAATAAAAGATAAGTACCTTTAAAAAACAACCAATGGATTGGACTACAATCGTGGAGAGATATTTTGGGTGTCTAAAGAACTTATTTTCAAACGCACCCAAACTGAAGATTCCTCTTTTTGCTTGTCTAAAGAACTTACACTCTCTTCCCTTCGAAATCAAACAAGTAAAAATAAGTTATTGGATTGGACTACAATCGTGGAGAGATATTTTGGGTGGTTCTCTGATTTGGGGTTTCACTTCAAGGCACGTATATATTTATACAAGACCGTCTAACTACAACTGGATCTTAACAACGGATCCACTTTCGCTCCTATTAAATAGTTTCTCCATTTCCTTGTGGTGATTCGCCCCGAATGGGACAGGGATAGGGATGATTTTCCTCTCGCAGGGACGGGAAGAGCATTCCCCGCCTAATGGGATCCCCACTAATATATTGATATTTTTAAAAATGTGGTTAAAAATGTTTGAATATTTCTTAATAGGATTGTAAATTTTAATTATTTTATTTTTATTTTTTAAATAAAACAAAAAACAAAAACAAAATGATCAACATTATACAAAATCACGGGGAATGGAGATCCTCGTGGGGACGGGGATGGGGATAACCTTGTCCCCATTAGCAAGGATGGGGACAGGGACGGGAATGGAGATTTTCTTGGGGACAGGGATGGGAGAGGCTCCTCATCCCCGCCCCGCCACGTTGCCATTCCTACTATTAAATAATATCATTTTATCCTATTAGTCAATCCCTTTGTCCCATGTCAGCCAATTAATCATATAGGATTAATGATAGAACTGTTACTAACCCACCGTTAATTCTTACTATCCTGTTTGTGTGGGCAGGAGTACAACAACTCTGGATCTCCTATCCACCTATCCACGAGAACTCTGACCATGTCTACCCACAACACACTACCCCTCGGAAAGTGGGAACATCTCCCCCTGCATAATATTATACAGAGATTGAAATGTTTTTTATGTATGGCTGCGATAAACAAGAAAAGAACTTAGGTGGATAGGAGATCCAGACTCGTTTCCAACTACAATAAACGTGAACAGAGTTTCTTTAGGAAACAAAAGACAAGATAGTGAAAAGCAGAGGTGGGGTGAAACAAAAGACAAAATAATGAAAAGCCAGAGGTGGGGTGAAACAAAGCAAAAAGAAGTACTACATTCGAAATCACATCTCCGCCCAAGAAGAAGCTGCCTCACAATGCCCCACAGCAAATCCCTGTCGTATATTAAGAATATCTTCTGATGATAATACCAGTCCTGATGATATCATTATCGGGAAATGTTTTC